CCCCCCCCCCCCGAAAAAGTGAATTTCCGCCACCGGGGGTCCTGTTGTCATTGTTTGACTGAGATATTATATTTATATTGAATATTTAGAGAATGTTCTGGAAAATTGTGTGTCTATAGTTTTTGAACTACCCCTACCCAATGAGCGTTACGCCACTGACTAGAAGCCCTCTGATATGGAATTCAAGAATCGATCCCCAGCAAATGCATTAAAAATCACACAACAATTGAAAGAAAATTATTGATGGTAAGTTATACACGGTTGGCCTTGCCAAAGTATGAAATTACGTCTTAGCATATTTAATTAAGTATTTATACTTAGCTTTGCTTGACACGAAAACTTATGGGTGATTTGAGCCTTATTAATACTAATAATGGAAAATAAAGTACTAAAGAAAAATTGAAATGTTCGATACGAAACAGTCTCATTAATTATTGTGTACATGCTGGCATGCTGATTCTTGCTTTGTTTAATTAACATATTCTACGTTATATAATGAAAAATATAAAGTATTTCACAAAAATCATACATGCAATATCATAAGTTAGTTATTGTATAAGATGACACAAGCGCCTCCGTCGACCCAGTACTCGATTCGCCATCCACCCGAGGAGGACCCGGAGCTTCTCGACCTTCATCTTCGGAAGTGTCCGTGTCGGAATCGGAAACATCATCATTCATCAAGGCTTGATTCATGTAAGCTTGAACTTTGGCGATCGCTTCGTCTTTTTCAATTTCTGTCGAGCTGCTTGAGGCTGCGCGCATTTCTTCAGCGGAATCTACTGAGGTTTGTTCTTCGTCCATGTGGAGTTCAACCTCTTGGGCCTCCTGTGTCAAGAGAGGGAAAGCATTAAGTATTAGGCGATTGAATATAAACCACTGACTATTTCCTGCACCAGTTCAAGTACATGTCCTCCAGATACCACGCATGACTTCGTTTTAACCTCAACTGCAACGAGTCTATAGCTACAATCTTGGACAGAACTGGTTGAGAATACCTTTCCATTTGTATACAAAATTCCCAAACCCCTTATGATAAATGTTGAATCATGTTGGCTTTCATAAGCCCCCGGTCCCCCAACGCAATGTTGAGCTTGACAGCTTGTGTCATGGTGAATTACCAAAAGTTGTTTCGGCGTTGTTTACAGCATTAAGGAACTTTAGATTCGCTACGGCTACGAAATCTGCCGTACGACTACGAGATTTTTTCCGTTAAATATCTGCTACTACAGACTTTTTATCGCCTTTTATTTTGCATACCACATCTTTATAGCAACAGTTGCGCCAAACCACGTACTATTATAAGTTTTTAGTAGCTGATATTTAATGGAAAAAATCTCGTAGTCGTACTAGATTTCGTAGCCGTAGCGAATCTAAAGTTCCCTATTGAAGTGGGGGAGGAAAAGTGACGAAAATTGTTTTTCTCAATGTGCCATTTTTTCCCAGCGAATCGTACTTACCGGAGTGTGACTTACCCTGGTTGGGTCGTTTCCAGGTTGGTAGCTAAAAGAAATTTTTAAATGATTAGTGAAGATATTTTGAGCTATAGCCTGTTGTTTCTACTCAGTGACTTACTAGTGTGGTCTCTCGTCGAAAGAGACGGCTTTTGAAGGCATGATGTATCCACTAGTTTCATACACTGGCATATAACGTTTCCTTCTGAAATAGAAAGCATTATAATACTTGAATATGTATTATTTTGCAAATATAAATATATATACCGTAGATTATCTTTGAAACCTCTCTCTTTCTCTTTCATTAATAACCACCCTAATTTGGATGTAAAGGTTTATGAAGTCTCCCCCATCCACCCCTCCCAGCTACGAAATAAACGAATAGTATTTAACAACTGAACTCATATATAACTGGACAGCGGTATACAAACCTTCGTCGCAAACAACAAAGCAACAATATCCCTAAGAGTCCACCGACACCCACAATTACTCCCAAGGTGATGAGCATGGCTTCTAGTATGGAAATATCATCTTCCCCAAGTAAGGCACTCGTGTTTCCCTGTTGGTTTCCGAGATTGATTCCCAACTGTTTACAGATATCTTCATTTGCCTCGCAGTACGCCAGTATCAGACTAAAATTGAAAAAATATGAAAGAATTATTTATTTATTTAGTGCCAACTAGGGCAGGGTCACCACAGCAGCATATGCCAATTACTGTGGGCCCTTTTACCTAACCCACCCTGTCAACTTCCCCTGTGGGAGGAAACCGGAATACCCGGAGAAAACCCACGACTTTCGACAGAGTGTTGACTTTACTCTTTTCACATGAGGACTGGGTTCGAGCCGCATTGAGAAAGTTCTTACTGAGGCTTGATCGGCAAGTGCGCTAACCACTTTGCCATCGAAGCCCCGGAATTTGAATTAAGTGCAGTTTATACGTCCTTGTGCATTTGACTTTGTTCAATCTCGTCAGGGACGTAGCCAGCCCCAAACGGGGGGGGGGGGGTCTAATTGTCCGATCAGGGGAATGGAGCCCCCCAAAACTTTTCTATTTTTAGAGCGAAACGCTATCTCTTGCATTTTTTATATTTTATGAAAACATTAAGAGGTTATGCCCCCCAGTTTCTACTCAGTTTTGAAAGAATTACAAAATTGGTCTCGAAGAAAAGTTGAGGGGGATTTCAGAAGCCCCAATTCCCCCCCCCCCCACCGCCACCATGGCTACGTCTCTTATTCCCACAATGCAAGAATGTGGAGAAACACAACCTAAGTAAGAGTTAGATACCGAAAACGGAGGCTCTTAGTCAGATACAAACCCGAGGGGCCGTAGGCCCCGAGGGATTTATCTGACTAAGAGCCGACGTTTGAGGTATCTAACTAACTTAGTTCATATTTGTAAGGATTGACCCACAATGAAATTCACTTTATGATATGTATTGTTCTTTAAATGAGTTTGAATTACCATGGTTGTAATAAAAACAAACAGGGCTTTCGCATTTGATGTGCATTAATTCTCGTGTCGCATTACTGTATACTATCAATGAGAAGTGATTGAATATTCGTTCACCAACCACAATTACGATGAAATATGTTTGAAATAGCTCATACAACAGAGAAGCGCTAACGAAGATTTGTATGGGTTTGTCGAAGCAGAGATTCTCAAGTTGTTCTCAACAGGGTTTTACATATAGGATAAAAACCGAATGGGAGGTCTTTCATTGGGAGGTCTTTCTTGAATTTCAATGAAAGACCGACCATGCATGAGGTTTTTATGTTTATATCCATTTTCTATTGTCCTCGGGAGGTTATGGTTGTGGGACGAAATAAGGTTGAACATGCGCATTAAACACGCTTTAATGTGGTTGAGCATGCGTAGTATATCATTTCGCGTCCCACAAGCGAAAGAGCAGATATTACTGTATAAATTGCTTGCACAAGCAAGTTTAGTGCTTGGTTCAGCTAGTCCTCGTGCACCGAATGATAAATACCCCTACCCAAAGGTAGAGTTTGACGGGCTCTGAAGGTACACGGCTGTTGTCTCTTTCTAGTCGAAAAAGGAGATGTGGGGTTTGAGTTTTGCTACAAATTCAAGGTATCTAACTCCATAGTGACCTCTAAAAGTGGTCACTATGTAGTTAAATACCTTGCATTTATAATTAGGCATTCAATTCGATTCATCAACCTCGCTTTTCCTTGTGGAGATATCAAATTCCTCCCCTTGCTTTTAGATTCTTACCCAAATAAAACCCTATTGAGAACAATAGATATCCGCACAAATATGAACTAAATCAATTTAGCTCCTACCTAAAATAATTTAATCGCATATCGTCACATCAAAGTGGGAATAGGAGTCTTCACTCCACAGAAACCTTAAACATATTTGTTACCGATACCATGTTGGAAGCCATAGACAACAAAAATCTAACGGCACTAATTTTATTGGATTTATCCAAGGCATTTGACAGTGCCAGTAATTCGATTTTATTACACAAATTGAGTTGTATCGATGCTTCATCCGAAGCTGTTAAATGGTTCCAAGACTATTTAACAGGCAGATCCCAATACGTGCGCATTGGATCCACCAAGTCATCAGCTCGCCCGATAACCCATGGCGTTCCACAAGGTGCAATACTATCACCACTTCTGTTTTGCATCTATATTA